TTTCTCTGATGAATCTCTCCCAGTTTCTCAATTCCAATTTCTCCGTCTTCTGTATATCTGTTTTATGGATACACAGAAAACCACAGCAAACAAAAACAGACAAAACAGCATTGTTTGTGGATTACAAATTGTAATGCAATACAGTTTGTGTTGCATTACAATTTTCTATTTTTTTTTATTCTTAAATTTTTCTCTGTTTTCTTATAATACAAAGCACTTTTCAAATTTGGCTGCCCCATCAGCGCTAAAATTGGTAAGATCAATGAAGACTGGTAATTTGAATGAGTTCAAAATCCTGGCAAATGGGTTAATTGCAGGGGAGGGTTTCGTGGTTTTCTCCCAAATGTAATGTAATGCTGTAAGGATATTAAGTTTTACTAACGTTTATTTTATTTTAAATCTTTACTATCACTTGTTATTTTCTACTTCCGGCCAGAATTATAAGCGTGAAGGTATTTATGCAAAGTTTGTCTGGCGAACGCCAATGGCCTTTTGCCAAGCGAAAGAGAGGAAGCAGTAAGTCAAGCAGGCCGCTTACCTTAGAAGTTACGCAGTTGCTGTTTGCCTTCCAGGCCAGAGGTTTTAATCCTCTTGATAAATTTAAACGTATTGTAGTGTTCGCAGTTCTCTGCACTACATACGCTTCCTGTTATTATAAGGCCAATCTTCCACGTTTATTATTCTAAAGTTAAATTAGAGTTTAGTTTTATTTTTATACTTTTATGTTAGACCCCAAGTAGCGGGTCAGTGTATTCCGAAGTACGGAAGTTCTTGTATATAGAGAAAAATAAAGGGTTTTGTATACCCTTCGTGTGTATCCTGTCTACTTACCACAATTGGTGAACATAGCTTTAGTAAGCTCTCTGTTCCGAGTCAGGTCCTTGTATGTTCCCGAAGAAGATAAGAAGGAACACTGACCCTGATAATGCAACTTGTTTCCATTTAAACATCCTTTACAAGTCATTACTCCTTTTAGGCATACAGTCCTCAAGAGTTTTGCTGTAAATAATTCTAACCTAAATTTTTATTATATGAATTTTATATACTAATTAAGCATATTCATTAGACACTGCTTTTGTGTATATTGTATTTATGAATACATGCCTGCAATTAATACTAAGCATACTGTTGATATAATTCATGATATGATTAATACTGAAAACACTGCTTAAGCTAAAACCTGATTTGAATCTCTTTTTCATTATGGGGTAACATGTACCACATAGTTTTGGTAGAAATATACAACTATGCTAACTTGACACATCGACCAAAAAATATATTATCGTCATCATTGGCTATGATAAAAGGTTTCTACGCTTAAGATTTTGGATTATGGTAAAGGACACAGGGTGTAATATTTTGCCTTCAAACATCAGAATTTGTAATGGAAATGAATGTAATCAATTATTCAATGAAACATCCCATTGCAACACAAAGTTTATTTACAAAATCTAATAAGTGACAACTGCAGTTTCAACATCTCAAAATAACATTCAAATATAAATGACATAAGACAACACTCATTAATTTCTCAAAATACATGTGAAATGCAACTCAAAGCTATTTTTCTTCTTTTCTCACAAAAAGAACAAGCTCAAAACGTAAATAAAAAACACAAATATCATCAGAAGCAAAATTTTCACAAGTTTCGTCTCCCACCCTCTCGGTTGAAAATTTCTCAATAATCAGATTATGATTGAATACTCCTAAAGATTTTAATCTCTCATCTTTTTCATTCAGAAAAGTCTTCTTGAACCATTTTGATCAATACCTTTTCAGAAATGCTAGAATTTATGGTTTCTCAAACTAGAAATGATTTTCAAGAGTTTTTGACAGAATAGCATTTGAAAATTAACACTGACATCAAATCAACATATGAGTTTTCATAAAAGTAAAAATGCATGCAGTGAACATGCAGGGAATTTCTACTTATTGCTTGCTCTTACCCATGATATTAGAATAAAAGTTTGCATGTTTTATTTTCTGACATTTTGATCATACACATATGTCTCAAAATAAGGCTGAGAATTTTATGAAAACAACCTTTATTTAACCTTCAAAGGTGAGGATTTGAAGGTTAAATAAATGCAAAATTTAACTTTTTATATGGTCACATCTGAGCAAAAATTCTAATTAATAAAATATTCACTGTTATAAATTAAATAAAAAAAATACACTTTTACATGCAAGCTGCAGAGATGTTGCAGAACAAATTTATTAACTTATATACATTTTAGTACATATTTATTTTAACTTATATACATTTTAGTACATATTTCTGACTGAAATTAAATATTTCTTAAAATTTGGTTGGCAACCACAAAACGAAAACTGGTTGTTTAGATGATTAATATTCTTAATTGGATAAAAGAGGGTTAATAAGTTTATTACTGATCTCCAAATTTTAATTACAGATATATCTGAATATTGTATGCAGATATTTTAAATTATCACTTCTTGTTTAATACTGAATTTTAAAATAAAACAGAAATCTAGATATAAAATGAAATTATGATTTATGAAGAAGTTTTTTTAATGTTTTGAGATAGTTTTGTTGCATATTTTAAATTAAAAGATGAGTATCCCAAGCATTTAGAATTAAATATACATATTTTTTGAGAAAAATCAATAAAAATTCCCATTTTGCATTGTTTTCTCCGATGGATTACATTACAAACATAGCACACATCTATTACATTATTTCAAATGCCAGAGTGCTTTAAAATTATTTACAATTCTCAGAACTTACTTGCAGATGAAGTATCGGATGACAGTGGAGTGTGAAATCACAATTTCATAGTTATGAGATGAGGCAACTATTGAAGGCCTGTGGAAAATTTTTTTGAAGGCTTCATCCAGTCGTTTCTCCTGTGCGGCACATACCTGAAAATGTATTATTCATTAGATTGCATACAGTTAAAATTTCTTAAGCAGTTTTCATATGCAATGTTTCCTAGGTGAGAGAAAAGTCATCTTTTAAAGGAGTAACTATTCATTTGCTGTCAATTGCAAAGATACAGAATCTACTATGCCAAAGAACTAGGTGTTATCTGCCACAGAAGAGACATCTATCTCACTGGAGGCATTTCTGAAGGAAATTAACTTGTATTTATGATAAAACTATGAATGTACAATGCATGCTCCTTATTACATCTCTGGAAACCAAAGCATGATACACAATCATTATTCAGAAGTCTCATCTGCTTTGTCGCTAAAATTCACAGAAGATTAGAGTTACGGATTAAACATCTTCATTCACTGAAATTACTAAATATACCTTGCTTAAATTTTCTGACTATGTGGAGCAAAAATATATTTACAATGCACTTTTCCTCTTTCTTGGAGAAAAGCTTGGTACTTCAAAAGGATTCAAAACAACATGAATTACCTGTTTCTTATAAATAAATACAATAAAATACAAATTTACATTAGCTGTATTTGAATTTATATATTTATTAAAATTTAACCCAGAATAATTTTCACATTTAAATAAACAGATCTCTTAGAATGGGAAATTCAAAATGAAGTAATAATAAAATTCCCAACAAATATATAGTTAAACTATTAAAAAAATTACTTAGCAAACACTGATTTACAAAAGAAATATCGGTCTACACTTGCAGAACTATTCCAGAAAGAAAACTTAATTAACTTGCTTGCATTGGTAGATTTAACACTTGAGAGGCCCCAAACGTAATTCAATTTCGAGGCCATCCCTAATATTTCAATAATACATATTTAAGAGTGTGCATGCTACACGTTTTTACTGTAATATGCACCTAGATTATTAATAAAAAAATATAACATCGTTATCAGTCTGCTTATTAAACAATAAAACCATACCAAAATATAATATTAACAATAATAAATTTTGTTTCTTAAGAAGTGCTTTTGTATAATGACAATAATAACAGATTGCTTATAACAAAAATTGGTTGATAATTACTGCCAAAGATATTTACAGAAAATGATGATGTTTGGATCGAATTTGGAATATAAAATAAACTAAACAGGAACTTTTCTCGCTTTAGCAAACTTATCAATTAGAATTTGATTTAGTGAATTATTAATTAATCAATTAGAATAATTGAAGGAAAAAAAGAGAGTCTAAACACAATATAACAATCAATCAACATTCTTAATGAGAGAGATTAACTTAGCTATGATTTTGGACAGAAGAGAAAGCACAGCAAAAAAATATTAGACAGATAGATATGTAAGAGAGATCATATCAGCATTGTGCGGATAAGCACGAACAGCACATGCATGAGGAGAAAAACTTTTAAGCTAAACATCATATATTTTATGATACAGCAATTCTTTTGATGCATGGTGGCTAAAAAAAATGAACAATCATTTAAAAGCATTCCAATTAATTTAGAGTACTTGCAATGTTTTGAAGCAGCCATTGTGTTTGTTAGTACATCAGCAGGCATTTTCTCTGTTGGCACATATTTAAAATCTAATTCATTTCTCTCATAAATTTCATATATGAAGATATCTAATATCTATATGTTTATTATGTTAGTGGTAAAATGAGTTTTTCATAAGCTTCTGTGTTCTAATATCTATATGTTTATTATGTTAGTGGTAAAATGAGTTTTTCATAAGCTTCTGTGCACCTTGATTGTCAAAATACGTAATGCTTGGATACTGAGCATTAAAATTTAATTCTTTGAGAAAACAATGTAAATAAACTGCTTCTTCAGCACTCTCTGTAAGACTGATGTATTTAACCGCTTGCCTGATTATCAAGAGTTATCTCGGGTTCGTATATACTGCAGTTAATTATTATCGCGAGAAAACTTGGGCGAAGCAGAATTTGTTAGTACGATTTCTTTTATCACGGTTTTACTTGGTGTGGAGGAAATGAAAGGAAATATTTAGCTTTGATTGGCAGTTTGCCAAATTTTGTTGGTTGCACGGTTCTTTTGGAGAGACTGATTGCGTGTTTCCATATTGTATAGTATACCATTACCCTATACCTATATAGTATACCTGGCCATTACGTTGGCTTGTGGATACAAGCTAATTGGCATCGGTATATCCAATATGTGCTTTTCCAGTCTTTTGAAATTTTAAACAATAATTTTTAGTTCAAGTATCTAAGAGCACGCTTTGCAGCCAACCAGCATAATTTTCCAGGATTGTTATTAAATTGGCTCAAGTGACTGACAGCATATATATAATATCTGGCCTAGTAAACATGGACAGATATACAAGCGAACCAGTTAGACAGTAGTAAAGTTCATTGTTCATTTCTTCCTTTTCACTCTCAAAAGGAAACATTACTTAATTTTACACTAGGATAGGAGTTGCTACTGGTTTTGCATCTTGCATATTAAACCTTTGTAAAATGCTATCAGCATATTTTTGCTGAGATAAGCTGATAGAATTATTATTTACATATTTATTAAATTCTATTTTAAGACAATAATAATGTTTACCTAAATATTTAACATGAAATTATTTAGAAAAATAATCTATAAGTTCTTCAGCATACAAAATCAAAGTTATTTGTTGCTATTACTAAGTTATCTATATATAAAATTAGAATTAATCTAGCTTAAGATGTTTTCATCTTGTAAACACACTTTCTGATTGTAATGGTTGTACTGCAAAAAAAATTTTTTTTTTTTTTTTTTTTTTGTCTAAATTTTCATACCATTGTCTTCCAATTTGTTTCAAACCATAGACAGACTTTTGCAAAGCATAAAAATAGGAATATTTTGGTCTTCAAAATCTTTAGCTTTTCCCATGAAAATTTCTTCTTTTAAATTTCTATTAACATAAGCTATTACAAAATCTAGTTGATATAGAATAAGATCTCTCATTCAGCACTGTAAGCAATCACAGTTCTTATAGAGCTTGCTCTGGCTACTGGAGCAAAGGTTTCATTGAAATTGATACCAGGTTCCTGTTCAAATGCTCTGGTAACTAACCAAGATTTTCTCTTTTGAACTGTTCCATCTGCATTAGATTTCATTCTAAGAACCCAGCAAAATACAGTTACCTTTTTGTTTTGTAGCTGCTGCTTTTCTAATTTTCATGTATCGTTTTTAACAAGGATTTCATATTCACTTTGCATAGCCTTACGCTATTCTTTTGCCTAACTTCCATTTAATGCTTCTTCTAATGTTAGATTCTTCCCTTTTTTGCTTATATTGCAGTATTCCTTTTTTGGTCTTCCTGGATTCCCAGTCTTTATTTTCTTTGCCCAAACGCACCCATGCATATGAGATATTGCTTCAGAATCAGGAGACTCAGCAGGTGCTTCTGCCATATTCGAGAGGTCTTCTATCATTTTATCAGTGGATATTTGTTTTACATTCAGAGCCTTACATACTTTATCAGGAATACCTTCAAGAAATAAAACTTCTAAATCTTTATCACAGTTAGTACAATTTTTCAAATTCATCAATAAATTTAACATCTTGGCTTATAACGGTTTTTCTGGAATTTTTGCTCCTCAGCTTTCGATTCGAGTATCCAAGAAAAATATATTCTGATGGAGGAGCAAATTTCCCTTTAGACCTTTTATTAAGTATGAAACATTTCTGTCTGAATACTTTAAAGTAAAATATGGTTGGCTTGATGCCAAAAATAACTCATATAGTGACTTGTTCACTCTCATGCTTTGAGTGGGCAATGAGTATGTATATAAACAGCACAGTTCAAGGCTTCAGCCCAAAAGGATTGGGGGGGGTGAGAGATTACTTTGTAATAACAAGCCATTTCAGTTAAACTATGATTCATGCGTTCAACTATTGAATTCTTTTGGGGTGTCATGAGTGCCAAGACTTCTAGCTTAATCCTGCATTTTCAAAGACATTTATTAAATTCTTCTCCACGATATTCAAGGTCATTTTCAGTACGAAAAATTTTTATTTTCATTCCTAGACAATTTCCGATCACAGCTTTATATTTAATGAATTTATTTTTCATGTCTCTTTAGTTTTAAAAAACTAACCTTGACATACACAATTTGTTGTCTATGAAGTTTACAAAATGATGCGAACCAGCATGGGATGGAGACTCTCATAGGTCCACACAAATCTGAGTGAACCAAATTCAGTAATTCATCACTTTGAAATTTTGATTCTTTTTGAAAAGGCCAAACAGTTTGTGTACCTCATATACAGACTTTGCAGTCTTTCAGTGATTTAATATCATTAAAATTTCCTACCATGTTATCAGATTTAAGTCAAATCAGACTCATTTAAATGACCTAATTTAAAGATGTCATTTTACAAAATCACTTATCTGAGCTATTACAGCTGTTTCAATAATTGCATATACATAATAAAGTTCACCATTACTAACAGCCTGCACTAGTATAGATCCATTCAGTTCTATTATTTTAGCACATTGTTCTGTAAAAAATCACTGAACAACTATTTGCAGTAGCTTTAGATGTTCATAGCAAACTACATTTTAATACTGGGATACACAGCACATTTCTGAGTGTGAGATTAGTTGTCATATTCTCATTAGGTACTATTATAAGGATAGTTCTAATTCCTGTAATTTTCACTGCTTTGTCAACTGCTAGCTTTATGACTGAATTCGTTCAAGGATGAAATTCTGAAAATAACCCTCTGTCACTACACGTCAGATGTACAACCGATACCTAAGTACATTGGGATATCTGTAGATAAGCACTGTTTATTGCTAAACTAATCTGTCCTTCATAACTAGAAGCCATCATAGAACCTTGATTTCCCTTATTTCATTGCACATATTTTTTATCAGCTATTTTCTTTCTACATTAGATGTCCTGTTTTTTATCTTCAAACAATAATTACAATTCAAATTGCAATAATATCTTTCAGCAGGAAAAGTTTTGTTTGAAATTACCCTTCATTTTACTTCTGTTCTAGACT